CGGCTCTGGTCCACAGCGCAGCGGTGCCCAAACGCACGCGAAGGGGGCGAGCGCCAGGACAGCGCAGGTGGCAGCGGAGGCGCGGAGGCGGCACGGACCGTGGGAAAGGGCCGGATCGGGATCCCCCTCGGCGCAGCCCTAAACCCTGACCACGCCCCAGCCCGGCTGGGCAGTGCGGTGGCCACCAGGGCCACGAGGGCCAGGACTTCTGGCTCCTCCGGCGCGCGCCGCCCGCTGCCCTCACTTACCTGTCCTTCAGGGTGGCCTTAAAAGTCAAAATACCTCCTCCCCAGGCAGGCCTGGCCTGGGCCCGCGGGGCCGCGTCCACGTCCCCTGCCCCGCCTCCCCACTTTAAATTCCGTGTTTGCACCAGTGGCTCCGCGGTCCCGGGCACTGGCACCCTTCCCGGCAGGAGCTGGGTCTGCTTCCCCGCACACAAAGCGTTTGGCAGGAGGCTTTGAATGAAGGAGCAAGTGAGGGCACAGACGGCCAGCGGGCTCTCCGGAGAGCATGTCTGTGAGGGTGCCCAGAGGGGGCCGGGATTCTTTCTGCCTTCCTTAGGCGGAAGCACGACTCTGACTCTGTCACATCTCCTTCTGCCCCTAAGGATGGGGTCTTGATTCCCACCCCAGAACTCAACCCTTCACTTTCAGCACAGAGATTTCACTTGAGGACTTGAGTGTCCCCTTCGGTTCCAGGAATTCTAGTGAGAATTCTTTCTTCTGTGGTGGGACACAGACTGACTCCTGATGTGGCTTAGAAAACTCCCCCAGAGGAGGAAGAAAGAAAGAAGTTGGGAAAGGAATCATGTCTGACCTTCAGGAAAGCGTTTATGGATGGTCTACACATGACCCCATGTCCTCACGAAAATCTCCATGAGACATTCTGTCACCACTGTGGTCCCTGGTGAACAGGAAAGCTGAAAGAAACTCGGGGTGATCAGAATCAGTGTCCTCAGTTACATGATTTTGATGGTTACAAAACATCCCATGTTTGAGTGTCCCACGGATGGTCCATTCCTCAGGTGCCGGACCATGCCCAGGCCTCAAGTGCTTGCTCTCATCCTGAAGTGAAAGACCTGTACAAAACCTTTTGGCTACCTTTCTGGTCACTGTTTAGGATATATCCCTATGTTCCTATGAATGAGATTACTGGGTTAAAGAGTATGAAACTTGCTAAGACCGTTTAACCACATGGTCAAATCTCTTACCTTGAATGCATATATAATTTCACCTCCTAATAGAAGACTGAGGGTTTATTTTAGCACATGTTTTAAAGTCTTTTCTACTTTGGTTAATGAAAAATGGAACACACCCACTTTTTCTTTCTCTCGCTCTCTCCCTGCCCACCCCCTGCCATTGGAAAGTTTGAACTCAGAGCTTTGTGCATATTAGGCAAGTGGTCTACCTGTGAACTATATCCCCAGCCCCTGGGATCTCTCTCTTTAAAAGATCAGGTTTTCTTCTTTTTGAATTACTGGAA